CCCCAAGTCAGGCTAAGCACTATAAGTGTGGATCCTGCTTGGCATTCTCTCTCTCCCTCACTCTGTCCCTCCCTCTCCCTCTCTCTCACCCAAAATAAATAAACTTAAAAAAAAATTTTAATGGACTTGGGGAGCTCCTGGGTTGCTCAGTTGGTTGGCTGTCCAACTTCAGCTCAAATCATGATCTTGCAGTTCATGAGTATAAGCCCCATGTAGGACCCTGTGCTGACATCTCAGAGCCTGGAGCCTGCTTCGGATTCTGTCTCCCTCTCTCTCTGCCCTTCCCCTGCTTGCACTCTGTCTGTATCTTTTTCTCTCTCATAGAAAATGAATAAAACAAAAAAAAAAAAAAGGAAAAGAAAACCCATAAATGGACAAATGTATGACCAACTCATCTTTGACAAAGCAGGAAAGAATATCCAATGGTAAAAAGACAGTTTCTTCAGCAAATGGTGTTGGGAAAACTGGACAGCAACATGTAGAAGAATGAACCTAGACCACTTTCTTTCTAACACCATCCACAAAAATAAACATAAAATGGATAAAAGACCTACATATAAAACAGGAAACCATCAAAATCCTGGAGGAGAAAACAGACAACAACCTTTTTGGCCTGGGCCACAGCAACTTCTTACTTGACATGTCTTCAGAGGCAAGGGAAACAAAAGCAAAAATCAACTATTGGGACCTCATCAAGATAAAAAGCTTCTGCACAGCAAAGAAAACAATGAGCAAAACTAAAAGGCAACCAACAGAATGGGAGAATGACATATAAGATAAAGGGTTGGCACCTAAAATCTATAAAGAACTGATCAAACTCAACAGCCCAAAAACAAATAATCCAGTGAAGAAATGGGCAAAAGACATGAATAGACACTTTTCCAAAAAAGATGTCCAGATGGCTAACAGATACACGAAAAGATGCTCAACATCACTCATCATCAGGGAAGCACAAATCAATACCACAAAGAGATACCACCTCACACCTGTCAGAATGGCTAAAATTAACAACTCAGGCACCAACAGATGTTGGTGAGGATAGGGAAAAAGGGGTACCTTTTTGCACTGCTGGTGGGAATACAAACTAGTGCAGCCACTATGGAAAGTGGTATGGAGGTTCCTCAAAAAATTAAAAATAGGACTACCCTATGACCACCTAGCAATAGCACTACTAGGAATTTATAAGAATACAAAAATGCTGATTTGAAAGTGTACATGCACCCCAAAGTTTAAAGTGGCACTATCGACAAAAGCTAAAGTATGGAGAGCCCAAATGTCCATCAACTGATGAATGGTTAAAGAAAGATGTGGTACACACACATACATACACACGCAATTGAATTTTAGTTGGCCATCAAAAAGAATGAAATCTTGCCATTTGCAACTATGTGGATAGAACTAGAAAGTACTAGGCTAAGCGAAATAAATCAGAGAAAGAAAGACCTATGATTTCACTCATAAGTGGAATCTGAGAAGCACAACTCATAAGTGGAATCTGATGAACACAGGGGAAGGAAAGCAAAAATAAAATAAAAACTGAGATGGAGACAAACCATAAGGGACATAAAAGCAGACTTCAAAGCAAAAACAAAATATCAGGGATAAAGAAGGGCATTACATAATGATAAAAAGGTCAATTCTCCAAACTAACATAATACACCTAACAACAGAGCATCAAGCTATGTAATAGAGCTAGAAAAGGAAATAGGTAAGTTAAGGCACCTGGGTGACTCAGTCAGTTAATCATCTTTCGGTTTTGGCTCAGATCATGATCTAACAGTGTGTGAGATCAAGCCCTGCGCAGCCTCCATGCTCACAGCATGTAGTCTGTTCAGGATTCTCTCTCACCCTCTCTCTCTGCCCCTCCTTCAGTTGCATGCATACATGCACACACACACTCTCTCTCTCTCTAAAAATAAATAAATAAACTAAAAAATAAAAAATAAAAAAGAAATAGATAATTTTACTATCTTAGTTGTTGGAGACTTCAACACTCCTCTATCAGAAATGGAAGATCTAGGGGCACCTGGGTGGCTCAGTCGGTTAAGCGTCTGACTTCGGCTCAGGTCATGATCTCACAGTCTGTGGGTTTGAGCCCCGTGTCAGGCTCTGTGCTGACAGCTCAGAGCCTGGAGCCTGCTTCAGATTCTGTGTCTCCCTCTCTCTGCCCCTCCCCTTTCACTCTCTGTATCTCTCTGTCTCTCTCGGTCTCTCTCTCTCAAAAAATAAAAAAGACATAAAAAAAAAAAAAGAGGAAGATCTAGCAGGCAGCAAATCAGCAAGGGCACAGTTGGAACTCAACACACCATCATCTAAACATAATCAACATCTATAGACTAGTTCATTCAAAAACAGAATACACATTTTTCTCAAGCTCAGATGGAACATTCACCAAGGTAGACACCACAGTCTAGACCATAAGACACACTTTAACAAATTTAATAGAAATCATTTTTAAAAAAAGGAAAAAAAATTATACATTTGTTCTCAGAACACAATGGATTTAAACTAGAAATCAGTAGGAGAAAAATACCTGGAAAATCCCAAAATACATAGAGATTAAACACACTTCTCAATAACACATAGGTCAAAGAAGAAATCTCAAGAGAACATAAAAATTTTTTTTTAATATTTTTATTTATTTCTAGGAGAGAGAGAGACAGCGTGAGCAGGGGAGGGTCAGAGAGAGAGGGAGACACAGACTCTGAAACAGGCTCCAGGCTCTGAGCTGGCAGTCAGCACAGAGCCCGACGCGGGGCTCGAACCCACGAACCGCGAGATCATGACCTAAGCGAAAGTCAGACGCTCAACCGACTAAGCTACCCAGGGGCCCCAAATGAAAATGAAACCACCACCTAACAAAATTTGTGGGATGTAGGGAAAGCAGTGCCTAGAGGGAAATTTATAACAGTGAATGCACATATTAGGAAAGAAGGTAAAAAATTCAATCATCTAAGTTTCCAACTCAAGAAACTAGAAAAAGAGCAAATTAATCTAAAGTAAACAAAAGAAAAAAGTTGAGCAGATCATTAAAATCAAAAACAGGATATCACCAGAGGAGGAAAATAAATCAACAAAACCAAAACCAGTTCTTTCGAAAGACCAATAAAATCAAAAAGCCTCTAGCAAAGTTAACTAAGAAAAAAAATTGCCAACATCAGAAACGAAAGATGGATCTCACTATAGATCCTATGGACATTAAAAAGATAATAAAGGAATAATATGAAAATTTCTATGCCCACATATGTGATAACCTAGATGAAATGGACAATTCCTTGAAAGACACTATTGCTAAACTCACAATCTGAATTAGAAATAATCTGAATATTAAAGAATTTCAATCAATAATAATTTTCCAAAGCAGAAAGCACAATGCTGACGTGGGTTCACAGATGTAGTCTACCAAATATTTAAGAAAGAAATTGTACCAATTCTCTACAATCTCTTTTAGAGGAAAGAAGCAGGGGGGCGCCTGTGTGTCATGGTTGGTTAAGTGTCTGACTCTTGATTTCGGTTCAGGTTGTGATCTCACGGTTCAAGGGTTAGGGCCCTAGTCAGGCTCTGTGCTGACAGTATGAAGTCTGCTTGGGATTCTCTCTCTCTTCTCTCTGTCCCTACCCTCACCCCCCCCTCCAAAATAAATAAATAAGCACCTTTTTTTTTAAATCCCAGAATGGGTGGTTCAGTCAGTTAAGCATCCAATTCTTGATTTCAGCTCAGGTCATCATCTCATACTTTGTGCGTTTGAGTCCCATATTGGGCTTTGCATCAACACTGTGGAGCCTGTTTGGGATTCTCTCTCTCTCAAAAATAAATAAACTTAAAGAAAATGTTTAAAAAAAAAAAAAAAAAAAGATCCCCATTGGAGGACTGACTACCCAATGCCAAGACTTAATTTTTTTTTAACATTTATTCATTTTTGAGAGACAGGGACAGACAAAGCACAAGTGGGGAAGGGGCAGAGAGAAAGAGAAACACAGAATCCAAAGCAGGCTCCAGGCTCTGAGCTGTCAGCATACAGCCTGAACACAGGGCTTGAACTCATGACCCATGAGATCATGACCGGAGCTGAAGTCAGACACAACCAACTGAGCCACCCAGTCACCCCAAGACTCACTTTAAAGCTGTAATTGCCTTTAAAGGCAGTATGGTATTGATGAAGAATATATAAATCAATAGAACAGAATAGGGAGTTGACTGATCTTAGACAAAGGAGCAATGGCAAGATAATGGGGCAAAAATAGTCTTTTCAACAAATGGTGCTAGAACAAATGGACAACCACATTCAAAACAATGAATTTACACAGAGCCTTTACACCCTTCACAAAACTAACTCAAAATGGATCACAAATATAATGTAAAATGCAGAAATATAAAACTTGTAGAAGACAATAAGGAGAAAACCTAGGTGACTCTGGGAGTGGCAATGGTGTTTTAGATACAACACCAAAGGCACAACCCATGAAAGAAAAAATTATAAAGTAAACTTCATTAAAATTAAAAACTTCTGCTCTGTAAAAGACATTATCAAGACAATTAGAAGACAAGCCACAAACTAGTAGAAAATATCTGCAAAAGACACATCTGATAAAGGACTATTATCCAAAATATGCAAAGAACTCTCAAACTCATCAATAAAAACAAACAACTCTATTAAAAATGGGCTGAAGACCTTAACAGATACTTTGCCAAATTAATAAATAACTAGCAATAAGCATATAAAAAGATGCTCTACATCATGTCATCAGAGAAATACAAATGAAAACAACGAGATAACAATACACACATATCAGAATGGCCAAAATCCACAACACTGATACCACCAAATGCTTGTGAGGATGTTGAACAACAGGTTTCAAATTATTATATATTAAAACCATTCAACAGGTTGAACAACGGTTTCTGATCTATTACTTATTTTACTATGGTAACCATTTTTTCAAATTATAAATAACTCAACAATACATCATGATATAGGCATAATAAACCAAATCTTTTACCTTTTGGATTCAGGAGGATGTTTCTTCTTTATCATTTCACGGAGCCTTGCAGCTGACTGCAAAATACACACAACATACATATAAAGATAATACCTTATAAAATATTAAGTATGTTGTTTTATTGACACTAAAGTAAGATCTATACAGGAAATAAAGTTCCTTAAGATATGATACCTGCTCTTGGTAAGACATGAAACCGATTAATAAGACATGAGACTATTAATAATAAACGCAAGTAAATAATACTGTAAATTACTGACATTCTGATACCCTAGACCAGGTTGCTAATGAGTGTACATGATTAAACATTAAACATTTAATCAAATATACTACTGTAAATTAAAAGGTTTAACTTCTACTATAGGCAATCCTACTTTGATATTTTCTAGAAAAGTTATACTACACTTCTATAAATCAAAACAGAATTTCTGTTAACTAAAGTCAAAATCAGAGATACTTTGTCTAAATTTCTAATTAATTTTCAACTTTTAATGGCTTAACAATTTAGTCCCCTATTTTAAGTCATCCTCCCTTCCCTCAAGATACAAACACATACTAACTATTTAGGAATGTGTAATCAGAGAATTCAAATAATAATTTAATAAAGCTAAGAGCCTGGTATCTTTTGGAGGACAATGTCACACACCCTTCACACCCTTCTAAAGAGCCATTCTCAGGCCACCTGGGTGGCTCAGTTGGTTAAGCATCCAACTTTGGCTCTGATCATGATCTCATGGTTCATGGGTTCAAACCCTGTATCAGGCTCTGCACTGACAGCTCAGTGCCTGGAGCCTGCTTCCAATTCTGTGTCTCCCTCTCTCTCTGCCTCTCTCCAGCTGTCTTTGTCTCTCAATAAATAAATAAACATTTTTTAATTTTTAATAAAAAAATTATAATAATAAAGAGCTATTCTCTCACACACCAAAGTTTTTCCCCCAGTGTGAAGACACATGTAAATTATGTGTGTCTTATGATGATTAAATTATACATATCTACTTACAATGATTATAAAACATTAGCATACATCTGGCCATTTATCCTTTTTTTTTTTTTTTTTACAAATAGTTTATTGTCATATTAGTTTCCACATAACACTCAGTGCTCATCCCCAAAGTGCCCTCCTCCATGCCCATCCCCCCCTCCCCCCCACATCCCTCAGTCCTCAGTTTTTGTCAGCATTCAAGAGTCTCTCATGGTTTGCCTCTCTCCCTTTCCCCCACCATTTCCGCCCTTCTTCTCCCCCTTGGTCCTCCGTCAAGTTCCTCCTAATCCTCCTATACGTGCAAACATATGGTATTTGTCCTTCTCTGCCTGACTTATTTCGCTCAGCATAACACCCTCAAGGTCCATCCATGTTGCTACACATGGCCAGATTTCATTGTTTCTCATTGCCATGTAGTATTCCATGGTATAGATAAACCACATCTTCTTGATCCATTCATCTGTTGATGGACACTTAGGCTCTTTCCATGTTTTAGCTATTGTGGAGAGTGCTGCTATGAACATTGGGGTACACGTGCTCCTATGCCTCAGCATTTCTGTATCCCTTGGGTAAATTCCTAGCAGTGCTATTGCTGGGTCATAAGGGAGTTCTATTGTTAATTTCCTGAGGAACCTCCACACTGTTTTCCAGAGGGGCTGTACCAGTTTACATTCCCACCAACAGTGCAGGAGGGTGCCCGTTTCTCCACATCCTCGCCAGCATCTCGAGTTCTCTGATTTGCTCATTTTAGCCACTCTGACTGGCGTGAGGTGGTATCTCAGTGTGGTTTTGATTTGTATTTCCCTGATGAGGAGGGATGCTGAGCATCGTTTCATGTGTCTGTTCTGGCCATTTATCCTTAAAGCTCACTGTATACAGGGCCACCTGGGTGGCTCAGTTGGTTAAGTACTCAGCTCTTGATTTAGCCTCAGGTCATGATGTCATCATTCATGGGATCAAGCCCCGTTTTGGGCTCTGTGGGATTCTCTCTCTCTCTCTGCCCCTTCCCTACTTGTGCTGTCTCTCAAAATAAAAAAATAAAACTTAAAAAAAAAACCTCACTATAGAAAGCATATTTCCACTATTCTTAAAGATTTTTTAAAAAGAAAAATCTTGTCCTTTCACTTCCTCAACACATCCCTCAACTCATTCCTCCTACATCTCCCTTATCCTTTAGGTAAATCAACCACTTAGAACACACTGTTCCACTGAATCCAAAACAATCATTCATAAGACACCATTATTTTATGTACCAACAAAAGTAGAGGAGGAGGGAGCAGCCAGTAATAGTTTCCAGATGCCAATTTCAAAACATTAAAATTTTTTTTAAAAAGTCTTAAAATCAAAAAATATGGTAACCTCTGTGTAGCAACATGGATGGAACTTGAGGGTGTTATGCTGAGCGAAATAAGTCAGGCAGAGAAGGACAAATACCGTATGTTTGCACGTATAAGAGGATTAGGAGGAACTTAACGGAGGACAGTGGGGGAGAAGAAGGGGGGAAACGGGGGGGAGAGGGAGGGAGGCAAACCATGAGAGACTCTTGAATGTTGAGAACAAACTGAGGACTGATGGGTATGGGGGAGAGGGAAAAGGGGGTGACGCGCATGGAGGAGGGCATTTGTGGGGATGAGCACTGGGTGTTATATGGAAACCAACTTGACAATAAACTATTTAAAAAAAACATATGGTGGGGCGCCTGGGTGGCTCAGTTGGTTAAGCATCCGACTTTGGCTCAGGTCATGATGTCACGGTTCATGGGTTCGAGTCCCGCATCAGGCTCTGTGCTGACAGTTAGCTCAGAGCCTGGAGCCTGCTTCCGATTCTGTGTCTCCCTCTCTCTACGACCCTCCCCTGCTCACGCTGCCTCTCTCTCTCATAAATAAATAAAACGTTAAAATTTTTTTAAAAAAATAAATACATAAAAAATAAAAACAAAACCTCTTCCTTTTAAGTGCAGAACTTACTCTTAATTTTACCCTCCCTTACCTGACACTATGAAACCTGATACTACCAGTATTTTATTGACCTACTGGCAAGAGGAATGGCATCTTGTTTTTAATTAGAAATTTTAGGAGCCTGCTTCAGATTCTGTGTCTCCCTCTCTCTCTACCCCTCCCCTGCTCACACTCCGTCTCTCTCTGTCAAAAATAAAATAAAACATTTTAAAAAATTAAATCAAAAAAAGAAATTCCACACAAACCGCAGACAACTGAAGTGAGGCAAAAAAGTTTGCATTTTCTGATATGTTCTTCAGTCTCTTCCTTTCATATGGTGACAATCCTGAAAATTCATCCTATGAAATTACACAAAAAAATGCTGTTACTTTGCATGATCCATAGCAAAAGCACCTGACAAAACTAGGTGTTGAACTCTCAAATGTATACTTTCCTTCAAATTGTACCTGCTCTATTCAATCCATGCTGTCTTACCAAATGATACGTAATCTTTGCTGCATTGGATACTGAGTGTAAGAGTTTGAATTTGGTATAATCACAAGATATCTGTATGGCTTCTCAATTAAATAACAAGTCATTGATGTGGTCATTAATTATACTACCACTGAAAGTTAACTTTTTATTAAACAAAACAAGAAAACACTCAGTAACAGAAAATTTTAAATTCATTGAAAGGGTTAAGAAAATTTAGAAAAAAAGAACAACAACAAATGAGATAAACACATGGGAAGAAAAGACAATAAAAAAATCAAGCTTGGAGATCAGATATCCAACTACTAATTACAGAGGTAAAAAAGAGGAGCAGAGGGGCGCCTGGGTGGCTTAGTCGGTTAAGCGTCCGACTTTCGCTTAGGTCATGATCTCGCGGTTCGTGGGTTCGAGCCCCGCGTCAGGCTCTGTGCTGACTGCCAGCTCAGAGCCTGGAGCCTGTTTCAGTCTGTGACTCCCTCTCTCTCTGTCCCTCCCCTGCTCAAACTGTCTCTCTCTCTCTCCTAGAAATAAATAAAAAAAACATTAAAAAAAAAAAAAAAAAAGAGGAGCAGAAAAAATGAAGGAGAAAATTATTAGAGAAATAATATAAGAAGGTTTCTCAAAACTAAATACATGAATTTCCAGATTAAAAGGACCAATGAGTATGCAGCATAAAAAATGAAAAAAGATCAAAGCCTATACACATTATCACAAAATTTCTTAACATTTGAGATAAGTGAGATTTTAAAAAGTTTGATCACACAAGAATCAGAATGACACTAATTTCCTAATATCGAGAGGAGCTGGAAGACAATGGGAAACTATGTTTAAATTTTTTTTTAATTTTAAATTTTACAAATTTTTAAAAATTCTTTTCAACTTACAATTCTAAATCCAATTAATCCATCAATCAAATGTACAGCATAAAGACTTTTTCAAACATGTAAACTACTCTCACACACCTTTTCTCAGGAAGCTACTATAAACAGCATTTCACCAAAACAGAATAAACTAAAAAACAAAACAAAACAAAAAAACGCAAGACAGGATTCAGAGTACACAAGTTCCAGGAGAAGAGAGGAAAAAGATTTAAGAAATTCAAACGAAAATGGTAAAAGAAAGATTTCCTTTAACCCTAAAAAAGGGTGTGTATGTATGTGTGTGTGTATATACATATGTATATATATATACATATGAAGCCATTAGAATTCTTTGTTACAACTCTGGCAGGGCTTAGGCTGTACCTAACAAGGATATGAGAAGGGAAAGGAGTGGGTAGGCACATGTGCATAAGGCATAGCATGAATGAAACAAGTCTTCTTCTTCCATGTTAAGTCAATGGATAATGTGGAGGGAATGAAAACTAAAACGGCTCAAAGTGCAATTGGTCCACTGGGCAGCAGCAATCACAGAGAAGTATGTGGCAGAAAACTGCTAGGTGTTTTGATTTGTCTCTAAGTATGCGTGTATGTGTACATATAGAATTACCTTTGTGTGTGTGTGTGTGTGTGTATATGTGTGTGTGTGTGTACACATGTGGAATTATAAGACTTAAATGTGGATGTACATGTATTACTTTGACCAAAATAAAAATTTTCCTCACACACACAAAATAACAGCGACAGCAAAGATGAAAGGTTATGCTGTCACTGTCTTTACAACTGCTTTCAGAGAAAAACATCACCATCATCATCATCAAGGGCTTTCTAAGATTCTATTTCAAAATGCTACACACTGACATCAAAGGAAGGCATTTAAATCATTCTACTTTCCACACAAAATTTACTGAGACAAATGATCAGTTTTCTTAAGTCGTATGTGTAATTCAAACTATTCTTACCCATTACCCACCTCTCAAAAACTTGTAACATATAAGAGGGAGACCAATCAAAAAACATCAAAAAAAAAAGGGAGCTCTCAAAGTAAACATATTATAGGAAAGAGAAATTTAAAAAATACAAAAACAAAAACAAAAACTTCATTGTCTTCAGAAAAACTTAAGAAGTTACTGTATCCTGGGGCACTAGGGTGGCTCAGTTGGTTAAGCATCCAACTCTTGGTGTCAGCTCAAGTCATGATCTCACGATTTGTGGGCTCAAGCCCCCACAATGGGCTCTGCAATGACAGTGCCAGAGCCTGCCTGAGATTCTCTCTCTCCCTCTCTCTTTGCTCTTTCCTGCTCGCTCCCTCTCTCTCAAAATAAACATTTAAACAAAGTTACTGTATCCATAAAACAAGGGATGCTATGTTTTAAAAAAATCAAATAAGGGGCGCCTGGGTGGCTTAGTCGGTTAAGCGTCCGGCTTTCGCTTAGGTCATGATCTCGCGGTTCTTGGGTTTTGGCCCCGCTTTTGGCTCTGTGCTGACTGCCAGCTCAGAGCCTGGAGCCTGTTTCAGTCTGTGACTCCCTCTCTCTCTGACCCTCCCCTGCTCACACTATCTCTCTCTCTCCTAGAAATAAATAAAACATTAAAAAAAATTTTAAAAAAAATCAAATAAGTGGGATGCCTGGGTGGCTCAGTCAGTTAAGTGTCCAACTTTGGCTCAGGTCATTATTTCATGGTTCATGAGTTAGAGCCCCACAATGGGCTCCACGTCAGCAGTGCTGGGCCTGCTTGGGATTCTCACTCTCTCGATCCTCTCTCAGTCCCTCCCCTACTTGCGTGCATCCCTTTCTCTCTCGAAATAAATAAATAAACTTAAAAAAAAAATCAGGGGTGCCTAAGTTGGTCAATTAAGCGACCAACTCTCAGGTCATAATCTCACGGATCGTGAGTTTTATCCACACTTCAGGCTCCACGCTGGTGGTATAGAGCCTGTTTGGGATTCTCTCTCTCTCCCTCTATCTGCCCCTTCCCTACTCATGTTCTCTCTCTCTCAAAATATATAAATAAATATTTAAAATTTTTTAAAAATAATCAAAGAAATAACTTGAATTAAAAGCTTGTGGCACCTAGGTGGCTCACCTGGTTAAGCATCTGACTTCAGTTCAGATCATGGTCTAGCGGTTCCTGAGTTCTAGCCACACACTGGGCTCCACACTGGCAGTGCAGAGCCTGCTTGGGATTCTCACTCTCTTCCCTCTCTGCCCACCCCCTCTGCTCCTGGTTTCTCTCTTTCTCAAAATAAACTTAAAAAAAAAAAAAAAAATACTTGATGCCAAAAATTCACATAGTATATAAACCTATTTATATACCGATCTCAAAATGACAAACCTGTAAAGATGAAGAACAAATTAGCAGTTGCCAGGGACAAAGGAGGGTGAGAGGGAGAGCTATAGGCATAACTATAAAGAAATTGCCTGGGGAAAAAAAAATCAGCCTGGGACACCTGGCTTGCTCAGTTGGTAGAACAAGTAACTATCTCAGGATCGTGAGTTCAAGCCCTACATTGGGCCTGGACCCTACTCAAAATAAACAAATAATTTAAAAAATAGCCTAATGGAGATTTTTGTGGAGATGGAATAGTTCTATATCTTCACTGTGGTGATAGTTGTATTAACAACACATGATAAAATGATACGGAACTATACATGTGCCTTGTACCAATGTGACTTTCCTAGTTTTGATATTGTAATATAGTTATATAAGATGTACACAATGGGAAAAACTGGCTTAAGGGTACGTGATACCTCTCTGTACTATTTCTGCAAAGTGCTATGAATCTATACTCACTTGGAGATAAAAATTTTTTGAAAACAGAGGTTTCTCACAGCTAACATCATACTCAATGGTGAAAGACTGAAAGCTTTTCCCCTAAAACTCAGAAATAAGAAAGTATGTCTGTTCTTGCTACTTCTATTCAACACTGTACTGGAGATTCTAGGACAATTAGGACAGGACAACTGGGAAAAAATAATAAAAGACATCCAGATTGAAAAGGAAAAAATAAAGCCACTTTATTGCCAAAACATGACCTTATAGATAGAATATGCTTTAAGAATTCACATAAGGGGCACCAGAGTGGCTCAGTCAGTTAAGTGTCCAACTTCCACTCAGGTCATGCTCTCCCGGCTCGTGAGTTCAAGACCCATGTCAGGCTCTGTGCTGACAGCTCAGAGCCTAGAGCCTGCTTGGGATTCTGTAAGTGAGTCTCTCTCTCTCTGCCCCTCCCGCACTCACACTTCATCTCTCTCTCTCCCTCTCAAGAATAAATATTAAAAAATTAAAAAGAAAAAGGGGCGCCTGGGTGGCTCAGTTGGTTAAGCGTCCGACTTCAGCTCAGGTCATGATCTCACAGTTTGTGGGTTCGAGCCTCCTGTTGGGCTATGTGCTGACAGCTAGCTCAGAGACTGAAGCCTGTTTCAAATTCCATGTCTCCCTCTCTCTCTGCCCCTCCCCCGCTCATGCTCTGTCTCTCTCTCTCGGACTCAAAAATAAATACACAAAAAAAAATTTTTACAAAAGAAAAAATGCAAATCAAGGGATGCCTGGGTGGCTCAGTCAGTTGAGTGCCCAACTCCTGATTCTGAGTCAGAACCCAGGTTGGGCTCGATGCTGAGCAACGAGTCTTCTTGAGATTCTCTCTCCCTCTGCTCCGGCTCACACTTTCTCTAAAATAAAAAAAAAGAAAGAAAAGAAAAGAAAAATGCTAATCAAAACCACAATCAGATACCACTTCATATCCACTAGGATCGCTATAATCAAAAAGACAAGAGGCACCTGGCTGGCTCATTCCATAGAGCATGCAGCTCTTGATATCAGGGTGGTGAGTTCAAGCCCCACATTGGGCATAGAGTTTACTTAAAAAATAAATAAATAAAAATAAAAACTTAATAAAAAAATAAAAAAGATGAGAGGCAGCCTGGGTGGTTCAGCTGGTTGAGCATCTGACTCTTGATTTTGGCTCAGGTTGTGATTCCAGGGTAGTGGGATTGAGCCCTCCATCCAGCTACACACTGAACATGGAGCCTGCTTAAGATTTTCTCGTCTTGCTCTGTCCCCTCCCCCACTCATAGGCTCACTCTTAAAAAAAATAAATAAATGAAGAACTGAGAACATTATGTTAAATGAAATAATCCAGTTACAAAAAAGCAAATACCATAGGATTCCACTTTTATGAGGTACTTATACTCAAATTCAAAGAGACATTAAGGAGAAGGGAAGTGGCGAGGGGCTGACAGGAGGGGGGAAATGAGTTGTTTAATGGAACAGAGTTTCAGTTTTGCAAGATGAAAAGATTTCTGGAGATTTGGTTTCAAAACAATATAAATGTACTCAACAGCACCACAATGTACCTTTAAAAATGGTTAAGGTGGTAAATTTTACACTAGGTGTTTTACAATTAAGGTTTTTTTTTTAATTTGGGGGTGCCTGGGTGGTTCAGTTGGTTAAGCATCAGATTTAGGCCAAGTCATGATCTCACAGCTCGGGAGTTCAGGACCTGTGTCAAGGTCTCTGCTCTCAGCACAGAGCCTGCTTTGGATCCTCTTTCTCTCTGCCTCATTGCCTCTCTCTCTCTCTCTCTCTCTCTCTCTCAAAATAAATAAACATTAAAAGAATAATTTTTAGAAAGATGAATAGTAAGTATTTGCAAGGATGTAGAGAAATTAGACTTATCATGCATTGCTGGTGGGTATATAAAAATGGTACAGCCAGTTTCGTAAACAATTTGACAGTTTCTCAAAAGTTAAACAGCGTTGACCATAATACCCAACAATTTCACTCCTAGGTATATACCCAAGAGAATGGAAAACATGTATCAGCGAAAACTCATAAGCAAATACTTGTGGCAGTTTTACTCATAATAGCAAAAAAGTGAAAACAACCCAAATGTTCTTCAACGGATGAATGGATAAACACAATGTGGTATATCTACACAATGGAATATTATTCAGCCATAAAAAGGAATCAAGTACCAATACATACTATAACATGAAAGAACCCTAAAAACATTATACAGAGTCAAAGAAACCAGACACAAAAAGCCATGTCTTTATGACACCATTTATATACAATGTCCATAATAGACAAATCTACAGAGACAGAAAGTAGATTAATGGTTTCCAGGGATGGGTTAGGGAGGTGGGGGAGTTGGTAGTCACTGTTAATTGGCAGGGGTTTCTTTTCATAGTGAAAGAAATATTCTGAAACTGGACAGTGGTGATGACTGTACAATCTTGTATATATACTAAAAACTACTGAACTGTAGGGGTGCCTGGGTGGCTCAGTCGGTTAAGCATCTGACTTCGGCTCACATTATGATCTTACAGTTTGTGGGTTTGAGCCCCACATCGGGCTCTGTGCTGACAGCTAGCTCAGAGCCTGGAGCCTGTTTCAGATTCTGTATCTCCCTCTCTCTCTGACCCTCCCCTGCTCATGCTGTCTCTCTCTCGCTCTCAGAAATAAAACATTAAAATTTTTTTTTAAAAACTACTGAACTGTATATTTTTAAATAGTAAATTTTATATCATGTAAATTATATCTCAATAAAAAATATATGATAATAGAAACTATATACATGCATAGTCTCAAACTATCTCCTGAAAATATTTAATAATTACAAAGGGAAAAACACTGTTTCCTTTAGAGAATCCTGACAGATACCACCTTAGCCAAATGATCAAGGTCAACACCACCAGTAAAATATATCGACGTCACAGACACCCGGATATGATGCACTAAGAAGGGCACATTCACTTCTGTGGTATCCCTCCCCAAAAATGCAAAACCTAAATCTAATCTTGAGGAAACAGACAAGCTCAATTTGAGGAACATTACATAAAATAACTATTCAGTACTCTTCAAAAGTGCCAAGGTTATTAAAGACTAAAACTGTCACAGACTGGAGGAGACTACAGAAACAGGGCTATTAAATGCACTATGCAATCCTAAAATGAATACTGGAACAGAGGAAGGATATTGATTAGGATTTAATCAAATCCTAATCAAGTCTGTACTTTAGTTAATATTAACGTACCAAGGTTAATTTCTTTGATGAGTGCTCTATGGTTATGTATGATATTCACATAATAGGAAGCTGGGTGAAAGATACGTATATCAGAACTCTCTGTATTATTTGCAACTCTTCTGTAAGCCCAAAATGTTTTCAAAACTTAAAATAAAGCTAACTATTAAGAAATTCTCTATGAAGTTAAAACATTTAATAGAATTGCTAAGAGATAAAATTTTCCAAGTTTCCCAGAAAACAATAAAATTCTAGACTTATAGGCCAACACACTTGTCTGTGCTATGACAAAAGCCTCCCCACATTTGGAGAAGAAATAAGCTTGTAAATAAAATATTGTTTCCAAAGCATAGTACCATAAAACCTTAGTCATTTTAACTAAAAAAAGATAACTAATGAAAAGGAAAAGAATACAATGTCCTATAAAAGATGTTGAATCTTTCAGTTTGTCCTAAGAAAACGTATGCTGGGCATTTATGACTCTACCTGACTGGTTCCAGTACTTACTCCTAATGTTCTAATTTTGACCCTATATTCTTAAATCAAATTAAAATCTCAGTAGATTAACTGATAACAATCTGGATAGGGGAGGGGGGATCCTGGCTGGCTCAGCCAGCAGAGCATGGGACTTGATTTCAGGGTTGTAAGTTCGAGCCCCACATTGGGTGTAGAGATTACTTTAAAATTTTTACATCTTAAAAAAAGAAAAAAAAAAAAAAGAAGGAAAAGATGTGGTATACACATGCAATGGAATATTATTCAGTCATTAAAAAAGAATGATATCTTGCCATTTGCAGTAATATGGATGGAGCTAGTGAGTATAATGCTAAGTGAAGTCAGTCAGAGAAAGACACATACCGTATGATTTCACTCATATGTGGAATTTAAGAAACAAAACAAACAAGCACAGAAAATAGAGAGACAAACCAAGAAACAGACTCTTAGCTATAAAGAACAAGCAGAGGGTTGCCAGAGGAGAGGTGGGTAGGGGAATGGGTGAAATCGGTGATGGGGATTAAGAGTACACTTATGATGAGCACTGAGTAGTGTACAGAATTGTTGAATCGCTATATCGTACACCTGAAACTAATATAACACTGTATGTTAACTATATTGGAATTAAAATTAGGGGCACCTGGATGGCTCAATCGGTTATGTGTCTGACTTTGGCTCAGGTCATGATCTCGCGGTTTGTGGGTTCAAGCCCCATGTTGGGCTCTGTGCTGAGAGCTCAGAGCCTGGAGCCTCCTTCAGATTGTGTGTCTCCCCCTCTCTCTGTCCCTTCCATGCTCATGCGGTCTCTCTCTGTCTCTCAATAATAAGTAAAAACGTTAAAAAAATTTTTTAAGAAAAAAAAATTAAAAACTTAACCAAAAAAAACTTTAAAATAAATTAAAAAGAATAAAAATCTACTTTATACTAGCCTCATATACTCAGAATCTTACAGTTAAAGAGGCCAAAGAAATAATCTAATCCATTGGTTTTCAAAATGCCAATCTGGACCAACAGCACCAATATCTCTAGAAAACTGTGTTAGACATGCCAATTATTTACCCCACTCCAAAACTTCTGAATCAGAAACTCTACTGATGAAGTCCTGCACTGGAGTTTTAACAACCCTCTAGGCAATTCTGATACAGGTTTAAGATTGAGAATCACTGACCTTATTGAATTCCCTCACTGTAGAGGTAATTTGCTTATAATGACATGGTTTCTTAGAAGCAGCCACATCTAAAACCAAAGCTTTCAACCCCCAAACCAATGCAATAATGACTTAATTCACGCTGTCCCATCAAAGTCCTAGTTCTTATCTGAGACAACAAAGCATAAATTGAATTCCTATTTCAAAAGAACACCACCACAATTATCCTCTTTCTCTACCATCACCTTCTATTCCATCAACTTTTTGATATGTGGTATGGTTTTATCTTGTCTTGCACAAAATTTGTCACTTTAAATGAAGTACAACACTCCGTCTTGCACAAAATTTGTCACTTTAAATGAAGTACAACACTCCTGATAGGCAACAGAAGCCCCAAAATTAGATAATTCCTTAGACTGATTCAAACTAGTATTTTAAATAGAACTAATAAGTGTTTTGTTTTGTTTTTTTCATGTATCTTCTCTACTCCATCATTTTCCTCCTCTTCTATTTAGAGGAAATATTCAGCTATTTTAATCAGTTAGTGATAATTTTCCTGCCCTGATATCAAGGGTCACTCAAATGCCATATGTTCCACAGGCCAAGTTCTTCTGGCACATTGTGCATAAATACGTAAAGGTGAGCAAGACACCATAAGGCAGAAGTAAACCCAAAACTATTTACAATAAACTGAGAAGAAAAATGGGAAACAGAATGAAGATTAAGTCAATCCTCCCTTTGACAAAACAAAACCAAGAGCAAAATTAACCAAAGAAGTTATCTGTTAAACATTTAAAAAGTAAAATTTCAATAAGTATACATAGACGCTGGATTGACCTTAGCTTATCAAAACTTCAAACTGTAAAATAAGAAAAATTTCAATAAGCTAGTAATTAAATTCTTACCAGGCCTAGTGTGGTATCTTCATCACTGTCTAGAGCCTGAATGCTTTCCATATCCACACTGGGAATCACTGTATCTGAAGTGCTCTTGTGTTGTAGCTTGTTACTTTCCGTATAAACATCTAAGGATGATTTTTGCAAGGTGATTTCTGTCTTAGAGGATGTGGCTTCCATCTTTGCAGTTAAAATTCTCCTGCAAGTTTTCCTTATTTCAGTCTTCTTACATTTCTTACATGCAACTTCATTAAAATTCTTATTCAATAGGGATTTGGGGTGCTTAAGTTGGTCCGGCTTGTAATTACTGAGTGAAAACGGAACAAGATACACCTTAGGTGTTTTTCCTAAAACTGTAGCCTGTTCTGGTCTCAGAGATACACAAGTGATGTTTTGGTTTTCTTTATATTCATTCACCTATTCGAGTCAATAAAAGAAAGCAGAGCATTAGAACCCCAGATCCTATGCCGCCTCTTACAGATCTGTGTAAATAAATCTAATTCTTAATTCATACTGAAAACATAAATCCAAACTGTTAGCTTGTAAGGAAGCTTTTTTCCCCATCAGAATCTAGATACTGAATTTAATTATTATACTGGGCGCATTTCTTACCCGTGAGTATGCAACCCAATAATAATATAATGACTACATCTGTAACTGAGGAAACTACCAAAACTGTCAGTTTCTGAGTAACTGGGATTGTTTCCAGAGTGGGAAGCCAGCAATAACTGCTTCAAATGCAAGTGCAGGGTCCCTGATCCCACCGTGCACCTATTTTGGGTGTTACTGATAAGAACCTTCCTCAATACTGAAGGTCTAGTTTCCAATGAGGAAAACCAAGGCAGGGATCCCAAATTATCTTTTTAAGGAACACCCGCGAAAAACCCGTTAGTTGAGAGATGCCCCAAGGAGCCGAAACAGCTCTGGAGTGCGGAAGTGGAAGGTGCCAGGTCCTTCTGGCCTCCTGGGCCTGTGCCCGGCAACCCTTCACGAACGCTGAGGCAGGAGCACAGCTGAGAAGGACAGCTGTTTCTCACCTTCACCTGGAGTCGCAGTCTGGAGCCCGCCTTCTCCTCGCTGGCTGAGCGCGACCCCATCTTTTCGCTGCTAAGCAGCGGGCGTCTTCCCGCCAAGATCTCGGCGGGAGGTGCCGGGAAGGGTTACAGGAGGAGCAGCAGAGCTGCGGCGGGGGCGGGCCCTGGCTGAGGCGCAGACCGGCTCTGACGCCAGTTGGCGGGTGGAGGGGCCTGGGCGTTACAGTGGTCTCTGTAGGCGTGAAGGTCACCAGCCTCAGACAAATTAAAATTCTTTAGAGATACGATGGGACCGAATCCACATTTTTACCTTGGATCCCGGTAGTTTTGATGATGCTGATGCCAGTATCTCGCTTTGAAAAACAATGGCGCTTTTGCGGAGGAAAAATCACCTTGACTAGCAACGGGAGCCTGGAAAAGATGCAGACGCACTTAGATGCCGTGTGGATAGAGAGCCGGAGAAAATCGAAACCATGCACCCTTTACCTGGTCTCCCTAGCTCCTTATAACCCCATCACCAGAAAATTATGCCCTATGGCTACCATACTATCGTCTTCCTAAGAAGGGAAGTTTTTCTTTTTTCAAGAGTTGATAACGTAAACATTTAAATTTTACCTCATCATCTGCCCACCGTTTAACTAATATCCTAATAATGAGCTTATAAAGCCCAAAGGCTGGGAAAACGTTGTGAAATCATTTTTGTATCACCAAGTAAAATTAAGATTTTAGTGCCTTGTAATTTTTAGTCACAGCCATATTAACCTTTTCTTTTTTTCTTTTAGGTTGCCATGAGTCAATTGTTTTCCCATCAGGTTCACTGTGTGGACAACACAGTTTTGGAGCTGTTAAATTCAAAATATAAATTTCTATGTACTCTATTTTTAAGATCCTCACCTAGCCCCAAACTACTTCCCTGGTTGGTTACCTGGTCCCTCCACTGTTCCTGGCTCCAGATTTGCCCTATTTTATTTCCTCTCCCAGCCTAGACCCAATGTTATATAACACAGGTGAAGTAATTTGAGAACTAATCCCATTAACAGTAACTTTAGGGCCCTCCATGATGTAGTTCCTTACAAACTTTCACCAGTCCTTGATTCAAAAATTACTAATAAACTTTTCATAGTTTATAGTTTTATAGTTTTCATAGTAATAAAAATTACTCAAACTTTTTAGAGTGTTTGATATATACCAAACTATCTCTGAACTTCAAGACTTTGTTCACGCTGTCCTATCTCTCCCTACCACAGCATTTATAAAATCCTTTCTACGGTGAAATGTGTTCTGACTTACAATCAGCCAATATTTTTTACGAACCCAGCTACTAAACTGTGATTGCTTCTGTTACGATTCTATATGCACCAGAATAATTCCCTAATAAAACTTAAACCTTTAGACAATATTCCATACTCCTTAGGGAGTTAAGCACGGTAAACACATCAAGTACTTAATAATTACTTACGGACTTAAATACACTGTCTAGCCAGAAATGTTTTACTAGACGGTCTTGAGAAAGAAAAAACTTGAAAGCCTTAAAAGTACACTGTTCTGACCTCAGATATCGCTCCAGGCCCTTTGGGGAATTTTTTTTTAATAGTAATAGCCTAAATCACCACCACCTGCCCTCACGTGACCAAAAACTATCCCACCACATCCCACTCAGCTTCAACAACTGAGCTAATCAGGTGCTATTAGCTGGACTTCTATTCTCCATAAACTCCAATTCTGAGTTTTTAACAGTCTGGACAAACTGCCCTTCGCTATCTGCCCAACTTCTTATTCATCACTATCCCATTATCTTCAGCTTCAAACCAACCTAACAGGAGTGATCCCTTAATTCGGACCTTCCTCGCCACAGGAGCTTAACAGCAAATCCTAATGGGAAGCAATTTCCCGCCAGAAGTTCCGTCCAAACTGCGAGACTGAGGACGCTAGAGAAGCCTGTGAACATGCGCAGTAACAGACGCGACCTTCTAGTGGTAGACACCCACAATCCCACAATCCTCTGGTCTCTCATTTCCGCTTTTTCTAACCCAGCCGTAAGTGGCGTTTCTGTCTGTCGCGCAACCGTGTCCAGCGCCTCCAGGAAAAGAGGGCTTTTCTGTTTGTTGTCGTTGTCGCCGTTCACTGGAATCACTGAAGTTTCGGGAGTCACCGCTGTTGCCATCAACATGTCGGTCCCAAGTGCACTCATGAAACAACCGCCCATTCAGTCTACGGCTGGGGCCGTCCCGGTTCGCAATGAGAAAGGTACTGTGCTGAGCTGTTTTCCAGTCGGATCTTACCTCCCCCTTCCTCAGCATACTCCAAACTACCAAGACAGACCACCCCAACCTCACCAAACCTTAAGATTTCCCTGCCCCTTGTTTCTTTGACTTTTCTCATCAAACTCGCCCCTATCGCGTTGCTCATCTGTTTCCTATCGCCTGTCTTTTGCCCTCACACTAAGCATCCCTCTTCCCTTGGACTCCATGTGTAAGTTATACTAATATAAATAGTGAATGCCTGTTTTTGCACAGCGTCGTGCGGGATACAGCCCCTCTTTTGTTAAAGATAGCAGCCTGTTTGTGCTGCTTGTAAAACTCTTAACATTATTTTGTGTGTCTGTCTCCCTCTACTGCATCACAAGCTCATAACGTCCTTGAGACAGGAACCGGGTCTTTTTACAGTTTTTATTCCTTTCAACCAACGCAGTGACTATTAAATTGAATACAAACTTGTGTAAGGCAGTACCCTTAACGTGAAGAAACTCATATTGTAGATGCGAGACATGTAAAAAGAGGCAAATTCTAAGCAGTGTGCAGTCTTTCACAATTGTGATTCTTGTCACATAGGTGATATAAACCAAACGATGTGGGAGGGCAGAGAAGGAATAATCTCTTCAAATTGGTGGAATCAAGGAAAGCTTCTTGAAGAAAGTAGCATATGTGTTGCTCCTTAAAGGATGAATAGGATTCCAGGGCAGATGGAAGAAGCAACACTATACCTGTTGGGGGAGTTAAACTAAAGAATCCATTTTTTTCAAGAAGGATTTTGGAAAATAGTATCAGCTCTTTTTTGTTTTTTAAATAAATGTACCTATCCTTACACAATTTGGATATTTTAATTTTTTTAATTCAACATGCCTTTTGAGAAGTAGCCTTTTATAACCTACAGATGTAGTTCATTTTAACTATGTAGGAATTCCATTGTATAATTACACCAGTTTATTCCCTACTGAGGAGTAGTTAGTTTTTTCTTGTGTTACAAACAGTGCTGTAGTTCTTTTTTTTTTTAAAGGAAATTTTTTTTAATGTTTTATTTCTTTCTAGGAGAGAGAGAGAGAGAGAGACAGCGTGAGCAGGGGAGGGTCAGAGAGAGAAGGAATCACAGGCCTAAACAGGCTCCAGGCTCTGAGCTGGCAGTCCGCACAGAGCCCGACGCGGGGCTCGAACCCACGAACTGCGAGATCATGACCTAAGCGAAAGTCGGCTGCTTAACCGACTAAGCCACCCAGGCGCCCCTCCCCCCTTTTTTTTTTTTTTTTTTAAGTAATCTCTACCCCAATGTGGGCCTCAAACTCAAGACTTCCAAGATCAGGTCTCCTGCTTCACTGACTGAGCCAGCTAGGCACCCCCTGTAGTTGTTATTCTTAAACGTGTCTCTTTAGTGCACTGTGTAAGAATTTCTGAAGAGTAGACTCCTAGAAGTTCATCATCAATATAACTAGCTATTTCCTTTCTTTTTAAGTTGACTTATTTATTTTGAAAGAGGGGGAAAGGGCAAGGGGGCCAGAGAATCCCAAGCAAGCTCCGCACTGTCAGTGCAGAGCCAAACATGGGGCTGAGACTCAGAAACCATGAGATCATGACCTGAGCTGAAGTCAAGAATTGGACACAACCAACTGAGCCAACCCAGGTGCCCCATAACTGGTCATTTCCAGTTGCTCTCCACGTGGGTTTTAAGAGCATTAAGAGTTTGTATTTCCCCACATATTCATCAACCTACGTGATTATATCAGGTTTTTAAATTTTGCCTAGTCTAATAGGTAAGAAATGATATCTCATTATTTTAATTTACATTTCCCTGATTACTAGTGAGACAAGGCATCTTCATACATTTATCAGTTCTCTAGGTTTTCTCTTCTCTGAATTACCTGAATTCTGTTTCATAGGCATTTTTAATTTTAGTGTTATCAGATTTATCAACTTTATCTTTTATAGCATGTGCTGTTTGTATATTGTTTAAGAAATACTTCCCTAGGGGCGTCTGGGTGGCTCAGTTGGTTAAGCATCTGACTCTGGCTCAGGTCATGATCTCACACTCCGTGAGTTCGAGCCCCACATAGGCCTCTGTGCTGAGAGCTCAGAGCCTGGAGCCTGCTTCAGATTCTGTCTCCCTCTCTCTCTGCCCCTCCCCCAACTCATGCTCTGTCTCTCAGAAATAAATAAATGTTTAATATTTTTTAAAAAAAGTACTTCCCTATACTGAGATTATAGATATTCAAATTATATTTTCCTCATTTTTTAAAAATGTTTTTATTATTTATTTATTTTGAGAGAGAGCACATGTAAGCAGAGGAGGGGGAGAGAGAATCTCGCTATATCAGTGCAGAGCCTGACATGGGGCTTGATCCCACAAACTGAACATGAGATCATAGCCTGAGCCGAAATCAAAAGTCAGACACTTAACTGAGCCACCCAGATGCTCCTATAAATATTTTCTATTGTCTAATAAGTGTTTGTATATACTAAACAGGATTGAACGCACAATTGTGCAAGACAGACTCTAAGGAGCTTATTATCCAGTAGGGATGTAAATGTTTAAGGTACATTTTTCACACTTGGGTCTTTAATCCATCTGGAATTTTGTGTGTGTGGTGTCAGAGATCAAATTTTACTATTTACCTTATGGTTAACCATTTATCCCTACTGCTCCATTGTTTGACTAGCCCATCCATTCTCCACTGCATTTTAATGTCTATTCTAGTCATAGAAGTCTAGTAATCTACCAAGCTCTTGTACGTAGATTTGTCTGCTTTCTGATCTGCTCCATTGGTCTCTATGTATTCTCTGAGTCAATGACATACTGTTTTAATTACTATAAGGTTTTTTTTTAATGTTTTATTTATTTCTTTTTTTTTTTGTTTT